CTTTGTCAACTTGAACGCGCCCATCGATACGAAATAAAATTCTGCTTTCTGATTGGTTGCAGAACGTCGTATGACGCACGTCGGATCCAGTGTGAATCCAGCATTAGGATACTAAGACGACGGTACTGCGCATTGAGAACATTTATCCCGTACTAGTAGAGTCCTATATATAAAGGGAAGCGACATCGAACCCCCACCACCAGATCGGATCCTTATCATCACTCCCTACGTCGCCATGTTTTGACCGCTTCAGTGTCGTAAACATAAACATACTCTAACCACCAACATTGTACTCCGTTGATTCTGTTAGCGGAGTGAGTTCTAAAGTATTTCATTACTTTATATCTACAATAGATATTTTAAGCCTTAAGCTGTAAAAAATTGACCAATTACTTAAGGCTTATATAACGCATTAAATAGTGCAAACAACGTGGTCGACGACACGTGTATCAGCTGTGTAAACAGCTGCGGTCACAATATGGCTGCTTCACTTAGAGAGGATACCCAATCAGAATACATATCAGACTGCCAATCAGAAACTTGGACGTCAATGTGCTTCTCTTTATATATAGGACTCTAGTCTCTACTACGGACGTAACACCCCCCTCCCTAAAAATAAAATGTTGGACCGTGTCCAGTGTTTTTTAATCAATTAGTTAATCTATATAGCGCAATTCTTTAATCTACCGTACTTATTTAATCTATCGCAATTTACTACGTTCAAGATTCGCATCAGTATAATCTGTGTAATAATTGAGTTATGTCGGAGTTTTATAGTCAATGTAAACAAAATGCAATACAAACTTATCTTTTTAAAAAAAGATAAAAAAAGGCGCTAAGGATATGCTTCTCGAATAGAACCTAAGTGATACGTATTTTTATCTTAACTAACCAAGTTAAATTCTATCAAATTAAAAAGTAAAACTCATGTGGGTACTATCATTATTTGCTTATTAACTCTAATTATATCATTTATATAAAAGATTTGATATCAACAACTGGCGCCAAGTTAAATTCCACAAAATTTTATGTATCATTCGTATAAAAGATTTGATATCAATAATTGGCGCCAAGTTAAATCCCATATCAACCACATAAATAAAATAAAGGATATAATCCAAGTGATACTATCTTTAACTTTTGTACAATGAAACCTAAGTATATATCTTTGTATTGAAGGATCCTCCTATTCCAATCCAAATGACTTTAATTCTTCTTATATGTCATTTTTATATTGCAATTCATTCAAAGACATGTTCTCTTCTAACCTAAAGTAGTAGTTATTTAATTCTCCTTCAAAACATTATTCAAAATGTTATCACAAAATTGCGTTACCTTGTCCATTCAAATGTTACCACAAAATATTAAAGAAGTAAACACTTGGCACTGATAGATCGAATAAGAAAAACTATAAAAACAATTGAAAATTTTTTATAATTTGTACGATTGTATAACCCAATCGCATATATGCACGCTGGATACCTTTATGGTCAATGTTCACCATTACACAGCCCGCTCCAAATGACCTCCGAGTGACCTTGACTCTAAAAGAGGTTAAGGTCATTGACCTTTTTCATCGCTCGTTACACATTGAAAAGGTATGAGTAAAACAATTTTTATGAATGGGATACTGTAAAAACAAAAAATCTCTATTTTAAAATAGATTTCCTGCTTTAAAAATAAAAATTCTCTCGCAGGAAATCTATTTTAAAGCAAAGACTTTGTTTTTAAAGAAGGAAATCTATTTTAAAGCAGAGAATTTTTGTTTTTAAAGCAGGAAATAAAAACAAGAATTCTCTGCTTTAAAATAGATTTCGAAACTCATGTGCAACAGTAAAATTATGGAAGTCGTATGGCCTGAGGTAGGGGGAGGCAGAGCTGCCTTTGTATTTGTACACATATTAGAATTATGACCTACAATAATATTGATATCTCTGCTTTAAAATAGATTTTCTGCGAGAGAATTTTTGTTTTTAAAGCAGGAAATCTATTTTAAAGTAGAGATTTTTTTGTTTTTACAATGGCCCATTCATAAAAATTGCTTTGCTCATATCTTTTCAATAAGTAACGAACGACAGAAAAGGACAGTAACCTTGATCTCCTTGAGGATCAAGATCAAGGTCACTCGGAGATCATTTGGAGCAGGCTGTGTAAAGGTGAATATTTACCACTTTTACTCTCATGGAAATGTTTTTTATTTTTCTTATTGTAAATATTACATTCATGTTTTTAGTACTAGTACTATGATCTAGCAGCGCCAAATGTTTATCCAAAATTTCTAGAAACAACATGAGGAAAGCATCGCACACCATGTACCACGCGAATCAGGAATAATATAAGCCGAAGAACTATTTTAAGCTTTAAACTCTTTTGAGTATAAAAAAATGGGGAAATTAGGCAAGGTTTTTATTTGTCTATGTTTATTTTGTGAATACAAAAACTGGACATATATAATAATTTCATCTCACAGCAATAGTAACAGCAACAGCAGTAGCAATAATAGTAATTTCACGCATTAAACAAATAAAATCGCAACTTTAAATTATTAATTGCTTACGTGCTTTTTTCGTGCCTATAAACTTTTTATGCGCTTTATCATTATATCAACCTAAAGAGAAATACTTATTGCACAAACGCGTTTGAGTTCGTTTGTTGAGCACGCGATCACGGCGATGGGATCTTTTATATATACATATTATTTCTTATTATTATTTCTTATTAAGGCAAAAAATGTATATACAGTGAATGCAAAAAGTATTTGTACACACACACACACACACAGAGAGAAAATATTTTTTAAAAAAACTTTATTTTTAAAAAGTAAATATTATCCAGCGAAAAATGAGTCATCGAATTGATGTCGAATCGATATCGATACGATGATTTCAACCAATTTGACGTCGATTCGATGTTTAATTGACAATCATTTCTTGATGGGTAATTAACAATTTATTCATAAAAAATAAAATAGACTGTATGTTCTTTAAAATTATATATACTAAAAAGATGTGTATTAATTATAGAAAATATACCATCTGAAAAATAAACGAAAATTAAAAATTGTATTATTTGGATGCTCAATAAGTATTCGTACAGTCGAGAAATTTAGCTTCTAAAATCAGGAATACATGCGAAGCTCGTTTGTTTATGTTATAACAGAATGTATTCATTGTATAAAGTTGCTAATTAATGTTTATCTTCTAAAAATAAGATTTTTTATAAAAAATTTCCTTGTACGAATATTTTTTGCATTCACTGTATATGTGTATATATATATATTTTTTTAGACAGTATCTGTACTGTGTACAAAGTGAATTTTTATATAAAGACACATACGAGAATTCCGTGTTTTTAATGGCGGTATAATATTTCCGCAGGTACGATTGTGTAGCTCAATATATGAAAAAATATTTTCGTAATATTTGTAAAATACTATAACTCGTCTACTTTCCATCTCCGCAACGGTACTTCATCTTTGTTCGTGGATTATCGCACGAAACGATCTTGCATATTCATATTAAACAAAATGAATTATATCGAAGATTTTTTCTATATTTTTGAACCTTTTTTATATGGGACAGAGATATAAACATGAGTCAAAGCTGTACCGTATCAAAATATGTATATGTATGTACACATAACTGTATAAAAAAGTTATTTTTACAAAGGAAAAAAATATAATCTAAGACCCCGACAACAATTACAGTAAAACTCATTGCCAGATCATGCGCCAAACTCTATGCATTAATTCTTATAATCAGAAAACGAAAATATATCATTTCATCGAAAAAATATTACCATTTTATTGTAATTACGACTGTAAAGAAACAGAAAAAGAAAACACATAAACTCTGACTCCAATCCGTTCAGAAAAAGAAAAAAGAAATGTACTTTATCTTGCTGTAAAGCGCAAGTATTTTATCACATTTTATAGGCGAATACGTTGACAGTAGTAAAATGAAGGTAAGATTGTTGTGTATTGAAAGTCACCCGCACGAAATGATGTCCTTCGCAAAATTGTACTTTTACACACTGTAGCCTCTGCGTTCGGCGTTCTTTACGGAATTCGCCAGACATAATGCGAAGATGATGCCAATCAGCTAGGAAAAGTGAAAAAGGACACGTATAATTACTGTAAAATATTCATACGTAAAATGAGAACTAAAACCGATATTCGTAATCGGTTCTTATATTTGAGATTGTTTTAAATACAATCTTAAGATGTCAAGCTCATCAGAAGGCTGTATATTAGCATCTTAAGACATTACTTAAGATAGTCTTAAAACAAACACGAAATATGAATACCAACTAATTGTCCGACAGTGTGTCATTATGTCAATGATTTCTCTAAATTGTCGTTCGTGGATATTAACTGCGTTAAAGCAGGAGACATGGTGGAAACATCCGAATGATGAATTTTTGTTCAAAATTACAGTTAAAATATTAAGAAATCAATATAATTGTGATAGTCGTAATAAAAAAAGTCGTCTGCAGGTCCTCTTACAGAGTAATTTTTTTTAGAAAAAAGAAAAGAAAATAAGTTCTGATAATGCAATTTAGATTAAAATAATTTTATTTATTATAATGTTTTAAGAACCAAATTACAAAATCTTGATACTGATTTACTTCATCTGAGCTTCTATTATCTATATTTATTTACTTTTTCTAAGAATCAGGATAAGATAGAGTAAACTGCTGAGATTAAAATTAATCTTATATTGGAATTATGGTGGAACCGGGCCTAAGAGTGTGTTCAAGAATCACTATAGCCTAAATAACTCTAAGCTATAGTTTATGTTACGTGTACTATAACAAAAGTGCACACCAGAGTTGGATGTAATTCTTGGACGTAGGATTGAAAAATAGTCTGAAGAAATCATTGATATAACGATGCACTGTTCGAACAATTGAATAGTTTCGTGACTGTAAATGTATATACTATATGTGTATACAGGATGTTTCTTAAATAGCGACCACTAATCATATAACGCTATTCCTGATCAAAAATTGATTCCTGAGCCATTTTTTCTACAATGAAACAATTATTACAGAGTAAACTGATAAAAAATTCTGATAAAAAATTAAGTCGAAAAGTCCTGAGCCATTTTTTTGATGAAATTTCCTCCTTTAAACGAGTGCACATCAGTGAGCCATGCGCTTGATGATATGCGAGAGCGTACATTATCGGACGCGCGGTTCACTGATATGCGCCCGTTTAAAGGACGACGCCGATTGAATTACAGCTTTACTCGATAATAATTACTTCATCGAGCATTATAGAAAAAAATGGCTCAGGACTTTTCGACTCAATTTTTTTTATCAGAAATAGCATTATATGGATATTAATGGGCGACTATTTAAGAAACACCCTGTACATGTATATTTAAATTCTTCAAATGTGTATTTTTATATTTCAGCGCGCAAAATTATAGAACGTTGCCAAGAATTACAGATTCTAAAGTAGGCTTCTTTGAACTAAGATAGATGCATAATTTAATTATTATTTCATCGCTCATCTTTTCTTAATATCATACATAAATGTAGTAATTTTGCAGTTTATTTAACTTTTCTTTATTTAGTTTCTTACCTCTGCAGCAGCAATACCTAGAGCAACGCCACCCAGTACCGTAAGAGCAGATTTGAAGATATTTACTATTGTGGTTACGCAACCTTCATTGTAAGCCTCTAATGGACTGCAGATGTCGGATACCTGCTTACTGCAACAACTTCCTGGGATAGGAATTCCAAGACGGGTAGTAAAATCTTGAGGATGTTCAATACCACAGCACTTCAACTGCAAATATATCAAAATAAGTACATCTCAGTACTTATTTTATTAGAATATTGATTTGTTTAAAATTAAAAGCCCTGGTGAAAAAATTTCAATGGAGTTTTAATTAAATTTTTAATGAAACTTCATTAAAATTTTAGGTTACTAAATTTTTGTACAGAATTAAAAACTGTATTTTCAAAATGCATCTCTCATTTACATTCGTCTTTATATTTATAATTATAGATATTCGTCTTTATACCCATAATTATAGGTAATAATAATAATTTGCATTCAAGGAACCATTTCATTAACTATCAGTGAAAAGTCTCATGCTGAGTGGCTTTTTTCTTAGAAAAAATTGAACTGCACTGTTTTTTAGTGGCAATACCGTATTGGCCGCGTAATGACAAATTAACGATATTTTACTAAATTTGTAATGATTTTTTATGAGGTTGCAGCGAAAAAGCGCAGCTACTCTGTAATGATAAATTGACATTTTGTTGAAATTATAATAAATTTTTGACAAGGCTGCAAAGAAAAAAACACGCAGGTATACTTATAGTACTCGGGAAAAATTTCATATATAGTATAATTATATATATTGTTGCACCTGCGACGTTCCGGACCGAACACCTGTAATACTCCCGTGCGCTCACGTTCTCGCCTCACGAAACCGTCGGTCAATCCGTCTCGCTTGTGACATGATTCAGCGCGCAGAGAAACGATGCAGCGTGTGCGTAACAATATATATAATATATGTCCATTATATAACATTTTTTCCCGGGTACCTGCACTTTTTTGTTGCAACTTCATTAAAAATTCATTACAATTTCAACAAGATGTCACTAATTTGTCATTATGAACTATTTGAAGTTTTTTCGTTTCATCAAATATTTGTTGCAATTTCAATAAAATTTTCTTACTTTTTCACTACAAAATTAGTAATTTTTCATTGAAATTTCACTTTATTTTTATTGGATTCTCATTAAAATGTTATTTGTTTTTCATTGAACACAGAGAATGATTTTCTCAACAAAGTATAATTAAAATTTTGTTGTATAATTATTAAAATTTCATCAAATTTAATGAAACGTCAAGTTTATCGAAATTTCATTAAAATTTCAGTAAAATTTTTCCACCAGGGAGATATTCTGTGAATTGCTCTCGAAGGTGGTTAGACATATTGTAAATTCAATGTTACATTTAATTATTCCAGACACGTAATCATTTATAATGTTCTAGTAGAATAAGACTTGATTCACATGACAGTGCAGTAGTATGTCATTGCACATGATTAAATGCATTCTAAAATAAATCTAAAAATAGTCTTACCGTCTCCTGTATGGCATCTACAGTGCTTTTTTGCTCCTGATTTCCTGTATTGTATGCCAAGAAGAGGTTTTCCGTGTATATTTTCTTAAAGTCATTCTCGTCAAAATTCTTCACTGTGACGAATACGTAGATTGAGATTGCCACTTGTATGATCAGGATTGTCAAGAGCAAACATGCAAACTGCGTGGAAGAAACATACATATCAATTGCCACAACTCTTAATCCTTTTCAAGCGGACAAAGCTGCCGCGAATAATCTTGCTATTTAACTTGTTCGATCGTAATTGTAAACGTGCCGCGTTCACGTGTAGGGGAAAGCATGATGCAAATAGACTTGCATATGGGGGAAAGTATGGTGATAGAATTTACCTGAGAAAATTTATTCACTGAAAAAATGTTATGGTTGCCACAACCAAAAATAACATTTTTCACCCATTGGTTGTGATAACCGTACTATAGTTCTTATAACCAAACTGTATTGATGAGCGAAAAATATTATTATTTTTGGTTGTAGCAACCATAGCGTTTTTACCACATTAATATTTTCATCTTAAATTGGTTTTTCATCGAAAATATATCTGTTTTGTAGTTATTCATATATGCATAAAAATACATTATTTTAGATAAATTTTATATAAAGTAAAACATTAGACAAAAAGTAATATACAATATATTATTCTTTAGAATTCTCGTAATTAAAATAAGTTCGACCTGCTGAATGCTATAACCCCATTTTCCACAATTATAATTGTCTAGGAAATACCACTAATAATATCGATTCAATATGGGCTCGGGCTAATATATTATTAAAGTAATAGATAAATAAATGCGTAAACCGAATATCAGATAAAAATCTATATATAAGTGTAACAATTAAATTTAAATTTTTATCTTTCAGTCATCTTCGATTTAATAAATGCAACATTAATTTTTAGTTTCAATTCACAAACTCAACGCGTATGTTTCGAAAATTCGAATAGACTTGAATTATTGTTCAGGATTCAATTTAAAATATTTAATGTAAATACAAGACCAAGAAAAGGTTAAAGTTTCTCGTATGACAGGAGTTATATGACAGGTTAAAAATTTGCTTATAAACTTACCGTGACTACCATACAGTAATTCTCGCGAATCGCACCGCAGCATCCCAGAAAAGCGATGATAAAGATAATACTGCCGACGACAATCAGTGTGATGGCCGGGAACTTAAGATTATTCGTAATGTCTTCCAAATGTTTCGAATAATTATGGTTTCCTATTTCCACTAAAATGCCGACAACCAGAATGGCCAGACCACATAGCTGCAACAAGATATTTCCAATTTGTATATGTATACTATGTATGTATCACGTGTATCCAAATTGTCTTTTTATTAGAGGAAAAAGTGACCCTAGAGGAAAAATGGCACCCTACTTATATTTTATACAATAATTTGATTAATAATCAATATTTAAATTGGAAACTTAACGATTATATTCATCAAAGTTGTTCGATTCTAGACTCAAAGTTATGAAATATTTATTATACTTAGAATACTAATTATAAAAATATGGCGACACTGCATAATGGTTCGAAGAGAAACAGGGATGGTAATGTAGTCTTCCACAAAAATGGATTTAAAAAATTGGTTTTGTTTAAAAAACAGTATTTGATTATATATATATATATAAAATTAATAGAAAAGTAAAATATTGTAGAGTGTATGTATTCAAATTATACAAGTGTGTGTGTGTGTGTGTGTGTGTGTGTGTGAAAGATTAACAGTAGAGCTATAATCGATTTAAGTTGTTTCATCTTTCGGATGTTATATCTCTTATGTTCATTTATACGTAAAAATGAATTTTTAGTGCAAAAATGAAAATAAGAGGAATAATCTCCAATAGCCTTGATTTTAATAAATGTTATCTAGAACATAATCTTGAACAACATCCAAGAGGTTTTAGCCTACACCACCCAAGGTAAGACTGACCAGATCAATGAATGGATCATTTAAAACCCTACAACTTTTGTAGGAAACATCTCTTTCGGAAATGCTTAATTTTCGAGATATTTCACCAAAAGATATTTCGCCAAAGAAATCAAAATGATTCACTTCGTCGCACAATATATGTGAGGGTATTTATTGAGATTTCAAGATAAATAAGAGCATGATTGTTAATAACAATGGTAAAAATATTCCGAGCATCGAAAAAAAGAGAATGCTACGCAAAAGAGACAATAGTATACGTTTTAGAGATTAATACTAATTAAAAATACTTAAAATGTAATACGATACAAAAAAATTAGTCAGATATACATTTCTCATGTCATCGATAAAAATAACATTTACGATTAATATAGAATCAGAAGCGTATATCATAAAATTCTCTGTAGCGTCCCAAATAATCGCGAATTACTAATACGAATAACAATTCATCATCTTTGATAATAAATCGGCGAATTTACTTTCTGGACTATCGTGTTTGCGCAAAATAAAATCTCTGAGTCAGCAAGCATTTTAAACAATTTCAAAAACTATTTCTAAAATTGTTTTTGATTATATCCGTCATTAATTATATCCGTCAATTATATATATATATATATACGAGATTTTTTTATATATGTAATTTCATTTTCTTTCTTTATACAATCTCAGAGAATACACAAAGAATCACGAAAAAAAGTACTGAATTCAATGCGAGCTTATTGACGAACATGAGATTAGATGTCAAAGCAACGTGGAAAATTTGCGCATCGAGGGTCGCAATCGCGAAGATAGTATACACATGATAACTACGTGCAAGGCGTGACGCGATAATTATGGAAAATGAGACACCCGGGAATTCCCGACAACATTAGCAAACGACGGGAAGGCTAGCGGGGGACGAAAATTGTAGGCGCTGCTAAATACATAATGCAACAAACGGTGTTGCGAAATAAGCGCAACATATGGAAAACTTGCATGCGAGGCTGTAAATTATCTGGAAATAATGCGATTTAGAGATCCAGTAACAGGAAGTTCGCATCCATCACTGTTTTAATGACTCTATCATTAACAAAATCATCTCGATTTTATTACATTAGAAATATGATAAATAATTAATGTTTTAGTGTTAAAAATGAAAATTACATCGTGAAAGAACATATATTTTTCTATGTAATAATACGACTAGTACAATAGCATCAAGCTTGCTGCAAATTAATTAAAAAATGAGATCCCTTACTTCGTTGCGAAGGTTTTTCGTTCATATTTCTTTTCGAATACAAATAATTATGATAATTATTCTAGCTTCAACATAATTTGGAGCAATAATTAATAAATATAATTAGTGTATCATAGATATCGAATTAAAGTTCCTTAATTAAAGGAATATTATATTTCCTGATTATTTGTTTAATCTCTGCACTACATCATAACTTTGTCATGATGTATTTTGGAAGGTGATGCTAATCAATATATTAACAATAAAATTGAATTGATTATTGAAATATTGCAGCAATATATTTGCAACATTTCTTTAATATGGCAGCAATATTACAGTAATATTTTATTTTAGCGGACATAGCAATATTGCAGCAAAAAAAAAATTTTATAAAATATTGCCTTTTAAAGTAATATTGCTGTAATATTTCGTGTTGTAAGAGCAGAATTATATTGAAATATATTTGGAATAGAATATACGTAATGGATTAATTTACGTGAAGTAAATTCTCAATAAGAAACAGCTAGCTTAACTTGCGAATATAAAAATCATGATACTTCTGTCTTAAACTGGCAGATCTTAATCTTATGATCTTTTCTTGGAATGATGTAATCGCGTTTGCTAAACAACTGATAATATTTCAGTGCAATTAAATATCGTTAGTAATCGAAAATGATAAACATATAAAACTAATCGATAAAGAAAATATAATATTCGACATCGATCATAAAAAGAGAAATTATGGATATTAAAAAAAAGTAAATTTGAAAACCGGATGTTTAATTCTACGCCGGCGTTAAGTTAGCACCCCATTTTGAAAAATTCGAAATTTTATACACTTTTTACTTAGTTATAGGTTTTAGCGACAGTTCCGGTCTCTAAGTATTTTTAAACAATTTTTCAATCGGAGCGCTGGCTCCTCACCACAAGGGTAAAGGCATTCTAAGGATGGAGATAACCCGCGAAACGCATAGTTTCTATTTAAAAATTCTTAGAGGCCGGAACTGTTGCCAAAATCTATCATCAGGAACCAACCCAAGTCAGATTAAACATTTATTTAAAAATGTTTAAAGACCAGAACTATTGCTAAAACCTATCAGGAACTAAACTCTTCGAGAGTTTGTAGAATTTCGTGATAAAAATTAATTTTTGTGATAATTGAGATGCCACGCAAAGTTGGCAATCCATTAAAAAAAATTTTTTTTAGCTATAAATCAGCGGAACTATTGTTAAAACTTATCAGGAGCCATAAAAGTTTTGTGGATGCAAAAGGAACTGTGTATAAAATTTCGGATTTTTCAAAATGAGGTACCATCGTCACACCAGCTAATTCTACAAAATATAGAACCCATTTTCTAATGTACGTTACAATCACATTGCTAATTTGGACTACATTTGATATTCAGTATATATAAATTATCTTAAATGAATTTTTTTCCAAAAAATTCTGGTACAAAATTAAGTGAAAAACAAAGTCTGTTACGCTTGTTCGCGAATCCGTTTTTTCTTTTTAGACATCGATCATTATGATAATTATTCTTCAATATTAAATGACCTATTGTCCAATTTCCAGATAAAATATTCCCGGAAAAGACTTTCGTAGAAAGTAGTTTTTGAAGAACGAAATCATCATCTGGTGAATCAACTTTTCTGGACACACCCAGTGTGTCCAGTCATACTGTACTGTATGATTGCGTAACTAATCGGGAAAAATAGCGAGATAAACGATAATGTAACGCAATGTCTTGCTCATTGCGGCTTTTGATAAAGAAACAAGCAAAAAAGTAACACAATTATCGACATGAAAGGATATGAACGTACGCTCCAACGAACAAGTAATCTCTTTTTTCGTAAATATTATACATATCTCTGTCAAGAACCAACAGATGTTCAACATACAAAAATCTATAAGAAATATCTTGTCTGGTTCAAAATAATTAAAAAAAATATTTGTTATAAACTAGTGTTATTTATTTAAATTTAAATCAATAATATATAACTTAATACGATGAGATATTTTTCACATGTACGAACATTATACGAATGTTATTTGTTCTGTGTTATTTGAACAAAAGAGGTTACATACATAATCATTTAAATTTAAAAAGTGATTAAATATAAAAATGAAGGAATTAACGTGCTTTCGCCCTATATATAAATGTAGTTTTTATCGTAGCCGATTTTTTAAACTCGCGTTTGTTGTAAAATGGTGCTCAATTGAATATAAAAGTCCGAATTGTTGTCTAAAAATCGATCGGTTTTTTTGCTGTAAAAACAAAATTATAAGGTTTAAAAAAAATCAAGACTGCGTATTTTCATGCTGAATAAATAAAAAAAACTTGAATTCGATCCATTCATTCGTTTTCGAAATATTTTGGGTACCGATTTGGAAAACACGATTTCGAGGAAAACGCGTTTAAAATTTCAAATTTATTTTTAAGCAACATATAGATGATTTCTTTTAACTTACACGGAATCACCGTGCCGAAACTATTCCAGGGCTGTATAATAAATCTTCTATTGACTCATTAATTCCTGTTAAATCGAATTTGACTTGCTTATGACGCATTCTTGCTTCTTTCGTCATATTTTGTGCGGCACGTTGGACTTGTGCTATGTGATGCTCATCTGCTTTTATTGCATATTGGTCCCGCAGCAATCTCCATAGCTTGCATGATTTGTAATAATGACAATATATCTTCATTATATAAACATGCGGCAACGTTAGTTGCAATTTGTACAATTTTTATGATGTACTTTTGGAGCAATTTTCCAAATCAAATTATTTAAGCTCTCATTATTATTTTGCGTAAATCCACCCAAACAACGCTGCAATGAATTCTCATTGCTGAGATTTTCGTAGATGGGTCGAATTGCTTGTAATATGTCTTCTGGAAGAGATTCATAATCATGTTTATGAGTATGTAATGCATCTCCGGCTTTTGCTCGCTGCCAGCTGCATCATGACCCTTGCAAACAATAATGATGTTGCGGTTGCTTGTTCGTTGAACTGTAATGATAAAAATCGCCCAAATCGCCTGTTTAATCAATTCAAAAACAGAATGATAATATAATTTCTCCTTATGGCTGGGCCATACTACACAGTCAATTTATCTATT